AGTCATTTTCTAATATTGCATTAGGCTGCATTTAGCTTTGATTACAGCACACATTCCTTGTTGCATTATTTCCATAATTGTGATGGACTTGCAACCTGTCCCAGGTGTACCCCGCCCCTTGCACAGTGACCCAGTGTCGGTTCTGGGATTTTTCTGAGGGTCCATCAAGTGGTCGCAGTATTCATAGAGGGGCCAACAATCTTTCACACAAATCCCCAGTTTTGGTAATGTGTATATACTGTATTTAACCAGTCATTCATGTTCAAACACTTTTAATGTATTGTTTTTTTAAAGGGGACCACTTTAGATGGCCTAGTAAAGAGTTTATAGATAACTTATTAGTTAATCCATTTAATATAGCACCTTTAGATGTAATATGTACGTGAACGTATGTCTCATTTGGTAACAAACTGGAGTTTTGTCTCTTTCTCATCCTTAATTAAATAAACATTTATTAATTATTTATAAAGTGTTTACAGATGAATTAGTAACCTATCTATAAACTCTTTTTAACCCAGCTATAAGGGGAGCCTTATTGTACCAAAAAAGTCTTGCATGGTAAATTCTCCTCACCAGTTTCTCATACATTTTACTGTACATAGATAAAATACTCTCAAACACACAACATGTGAGAAAATCCAGCCATCCTTTGTCAGTTGAAAGACTTTTTTTTTTTTTTTTTTTGCAGGATTGTTCAAATTTTCTTAAGGGAAGAAGAATTCTGTCAGCTTGATTCATTCTGGACTTTATTATTTTACTCATTAGCACCTCTAGTGTTTGAACATGGAACTGCATCCACCATCATCATTCCCAGGTAAAGGACAGATGAGTGGCCCCTGTGGCCCCGCCCCTGCAGTGACCCCTGTGACCCTGAAAGGAAGAAGCGGGTACAGATAATGGATGATTTCCACAAACTTCTGCATCGTCTCATTTATTTCTGTACAAATTTGCATACATTTTTCACCAAGATCTCTCATTGATGATGGTAGAGTCTGACCTTCTCCAGCACATCCCAAAGATCCTCACTGGACTCTGTGGATCCAATCCATGTGGGAAAATGTCTCATGTTTCCTGAACCACTCTTTCACAATAAGAGCCCCATGAATCCTGGCAGTGTCATCTTAGAATATGGCCGTGCCATCAGGGAAGAAACAATCATTGATGGAATAAGCTGCTCATTCAGGATATTCAGGAACAGGGTCAGTCTGGACTCATCAGACCTTCTTTCGTTGCTCCAGAGTTCAATCTTTATGCTCCCTAAAACAATGAAGCACTTTTCATTCTGATTATCTTCACTGATAAGTGGTTTCAGCAATCCCTTAATGTTTTCTCTGCTTGATGCCAATAATTGAGAAGTTTATAGTAACTAAGTATATTTACTTCATTACAGTACTTAAGTACATTTTTTAAGGATTTGTAATTTTACCAAGTATTTTTTTTAAATTGTTACTTTTACTTCCTGACATTTAAAACCTGAAATTGATACTTTTATTTCTTTACTTTAAAATTTAACATCTAGTTACTCGTTATAAAATGAAATATGTCCAAACTCATGAAAGGGTGTGTTGAATTTACTCATCCAAGT